TGTGTAGTAGTAGAGTGCTGTATGTATATGTGTGTAGTAGAGTGCTGTATATGTGTGTGTGTAGTAGAGTGCTGTATGTATATGTGTGTGTAGTAGAGTGCTGTATGAATGTGTGTGTGTGTGTGTGTGTGTAGGTAAATGAGAGCACAGATTGTGTTTTAAAGAGCTTTGAGTATCTTGATCAGAAGATGTTATACAAGTACAGTCCATTTACTTGTAAGTGTTTCAGATCATCAGAGTGATGTCATGTACTGACGGGAGCTCTGCTTCGATTCAATCTATTTTTGTTCCTGTTGTTTTTGTTTTAACCGTGTTTGCACCTACACTGCACAACCACGCTTGAGACACCGGATGGTGGACCAGAATTGCCTCAAAGCCATGTGGAAGTCATTCTCCATGGCCTCTCTGAACTCCTCCCATGCCCAAGTTTTTGACTCCGCAACCTTCTGAGCTACATGCCGCTTGGACTGCTAGTACCCATCTGCTGCTTCTGGGGTCCCACAGGCCAAAAAGGCCTGATAGGACTCCTCCTTCAAACTGACAGCATATCTCACTCCGATACACTTTTGGATTTGTGTATGTCACTGCCTTGTCATCATGCCATCGTGGTTCAGTTACCGGCCCCCTTCCAGCCTTGGGCTCAGGTTCCGGCCTGTCATGGCAGCGCGACCGTCTCCAAGATCCTCCATCTGCCTGCATGGAACAAACTGTACAGAACAGTTCATTTCCACAGGAAAACATTGGATGTTCTGTGTCTGCCAGACCTGTTTCTGGAGGGCAGCCATCGTTTGCTGCCGTGGTCATTATCATCATGTTGCTAACAGAACCATACTGCTGTAGATGTATTTCTTTATTCACTTTTGGCACCTTGTTTTTGTATTTTTGTTACTTTCTCTGGTGTTTCTTGTCGTTGTTGTTGTTTTTGGCAAGTCAAGACGGTTCTTCTCGTCCTGAGCATTTCATTGAATTGTTGACCTGCATATGACAATAAAGAAACAGAATAGAATAGAAACAGCCTTTAATTGTCCCACAAAGGGGAAATCCAAGTGTAACAGCAGCAACAAATATAAAGTTTCACACAAAAAGTTCCTAAAATGTAAAAAACAATATATAAAGAAATAAGATAAACAATAATAATAATAATATACTATAGAAGACTACAATAGAAAATACTGTGCAGTTTTTTAAAATAGGCATGGCAAGATGTACATAGTGTTCAATATGTATTGAGCAATGAGAAAGACAGACTATTGACAGTACAGTCGTATAGGCAGAGTGTGTGTTTTAGCACAGGTCAGCATGTATTTAATCATTATTTAGTTTGTTGGGAGCAGTGATGGTTGTAGAGTCTTAACAGCTGCTGGGAGGAAGGATCTGCGGTAACGCTCCTTTGTGCATTTAGGATGCAGTAATCTGTCGCTGGAGGAGCTCTTCAATTCAGCAACAGCTTCATGCATGGGGTGAGAGACATTGTCCAGCAATGATGTTAATTTAGCTCGAGTCCTCCTGTCTCCCACCACCTGCACTGGGTCGAGGGGACATCCAAGCACAGAGCTGGCCTTCTTGATGAGCTTATCTAGCTGCTGCTTCTCAGCTGATGATAAGCTACTGCTCCAACACACAACACCATAGAAGATGGCAAACCAGTTTGCCAGTGATAAGAGAAACTGTTCTTTTCCACTATGGGAGTATGCTGCTTGTGGGACTCAGTTTGTTTGGTGGCTCCTCAGATTGAAGAAATCCTTTGAATGAAGGACAAAACGTATCAGCAAAGAAAATAAAATGTCCACATGACCTGACTGGACATTGTTAGATTCCAGAATAATTCACATATAAGAAACATTTTCTTTGGACTTGAGCAGAAATTCATCTGTGAGAGAACTGCCTCTGGTTCTTCAAGCCTTCTGCACAGATCAGTGGAGTCCATACATGTGATTTCTGTTCACTCCCCTCGGCGGCCAGTGATGTCAAAAAGCTGCTCATCCATCCACGGTTGTTTAGAAATGGGATCTGAGCTGCGCTCTGCACAGACAAACCAAACATTGACTCTTGTAAACAACGATTGTCCTTCTCCAGGCCCAGCTTGGTCCAGCTGGATCCATTAAACGCTCTGGGTGTTGAGCAGTATGTGCATAGTCAGAGCTCATCGGGTTGGCCCGCGGTTCTGTGCAAACATGATGCATGACGGTTGGTTTGTGTGCTGTGGGGTCTGACAGAGCCAATCAAAAACAATGTGAGTGATGAACAGAACTCAGAGAAGACCGTCCTTTTCCTCTAAAATGGACACATCTTACCTTTAATGATGGGACCTCATCATTTTACTCAGTCCTGCCCTGAGCATTAACCCTTTCGTGCAGTTTGTTTGGACCGTTTTCCCACAGAGCTCCTCTCCCTCATCCTTCATGAGCTCAATTCACTTCAACTTAATTCAGTTCAGTTCAGTTCATTTCTGTAGCTCCAAGTCCCAACAGACGTCATCTCAGAGTACTGAACAAAAATAGTAAATGGTCTCACATGAGTGCTCTGGCTGATTGGTGTCACCTGGTGATGAGCGGCTGAGATCACGTAGGAGCTGTGCAGCGTAAGTAAATGACAAAATTCAGGTAAACCAAACAAATTAAATTAAAATAAATTAAACTCAGGTAAAACAATCGAATATATTAATATTTTTCATAAATTTTTTGTTATTACTAACCTGTGCTTTTTTGTTTCAATAAAACAAACTGGACGAGGAGACGTTGGACAGTCTTGAGAGCTACCTGGACGCGTGCTTTGAGAATATAGTGATGGGTAAACCTCAGAACACCGCGCCCACCGCTACTCCAACATCCAAGCGCACGCGTTCGGAGAGCTCAAGCGGCGCGTCCACGTCTCCTGAGAAAAGCTTCACCGATGTTCTGGAGTCCATCGACAAAAAGTTAACAAGTTTAGATGCCCGACTGGCTCTCGTTGAAGCTCTCCACAAAGAATTTCAAGCGTTGAGGGAATCTCTGGAGTTCAGCCAAGCTCAGGTGGCGTCGCTAGCTGCAGAAAACCAATCTCTGAGGGGAGACGTTAAAGATCTCACAGAGAGGATGACGCAGATATCCGGAGATAACAGGAAAATGAAAGAGTCCATCCTGGACCTTCAAGCTCGGAGTATGCGGGATAATCTTGTCTTCTCTGGGATCCCTGAACGAGGTGAGGAGGACGCAGAAGCGACGATCCGTGAGTTTATCCAACGTGAGCTGAAACTCCCAAGTGAAACCGTAAAAAAGTTCACTTTCCATCGTGTTCACCGGCTCGGAGGTAAGAGGCCCGATAACAAGCGACCTCGCCCAATTATAGCTAAATTTGAGCATTATAAACAGAAAGAGCAGGTGAGAAGTCAGGGCAGAGAACTGCGTGGGAAAGATTTCAGCGTTAATGATCAGTTTCCTAAAGAAATACTCGATCGGAGGCGAGTTTTATTTCCAATCAGGAAAAAACTCATATCTGAGGGCGCCAGGGCTACAGTGGCAGTAGATAAACTTTATGTTAACGGTCAGCTGTTCAGGGAACGGGATATCACTCCATGGCTTTATTAAAAGGAACAACAGCTTGGTTTAAAGCAGGGCTGTTCAATGTATGACCTGTGGGCCAGGTCAGGTCCACGGATGGGCCAGGTTCGCTTCAACAATGAGTTCTTTCTTCTTTTTTTTTTTTTTTCTCTCTCTTTCTTTCTTTATGTATATGTATGTGTATGTATGTATGTATGTGTGGGGATATGTATGTGTATGTGTGGGGATATGTATGTGTATGTTTGGGGATATGTATGTGTATGTGGGGATATGTATGTATGTATATATGTGTGTGTATGTAGGTATGTATATATGTGTGTGTATGTAGGTATGTATATATGTGTGTGTGTGTGTATGTAGGTATGTATATATGTGTGTGTGTGTGTATGTAGGTATGTATATATGTGTGTGTATGCAGGTATGTATATATGTGTGTGTGTGTATGTAGGTATGTATATATGTGTGTGTGTGTATGTAGGTATGTATATATGTGTGTGTGTGTAT